ACATATCAACTGTCTGGAAATGAAAGCAGTTGGTTTGGCCCTGAAAGCTTTTCTGTCAAACCTCAGGGGTCACCACGTCTTGGTCCGTACAGACAACGTGTCTGTGGTGGCCTACATAAATCGCCAGGGTGGCATCAGGTCAGGCAACCTGTACGCTATGGCGAGGGACCTCCTCATGTGGGCACAAGCCAATCTGAGCTCTCTGAGAGCAGCGCATGTCCCGGGCGTCCAGAATGTGGGTGCGGATATGCTCTCAAGAGGCAACACTCCCCTAGGCGAGTGGTCCCTGAACCCTCAGACGGTCAGACTAATATGGGAGAGGTTCGGCGAGGCCGAAGTCGACCTTTTCGCCTTGAGAGCCAACACCCACTGCAGGGTGTTTTTCTCGAAAAACAGGGATGCGCTGGCTCATCTCTGGCCCAGCCGCCCCCTTTACGCGTTTCCCCCCGTCTCGATGATCCCACAGGTTATCGAGCGGGTCAGGGAGAGCGGATGCCCAGTCCTTCTGGTGGCTCCTCTCTGGAAATCCAGACCTTTGTTTCCGGAACTGGTTCAGTTGTCAGACACGACCCCCTGGCCTGTTCCGATGAGGAAGGATCTCCTCACACAGGCCAACGGAACGATGTGGCATCCCCGACCCGATATATGGGCCCTCCATGTGTGGCCCCTAAACGGGTATCCGGGGACCTTCCTGACAGGGTCTTAAGCACTATCTCTGAAGCAAGGGCCCCGTCTACTCGGCGCCTTTATGCTTTAAAGTGGTCGGGTTTTTCCAGCTGGTGCTCGAGAAATCGTATTGACCCAGAGTCATGTGAGGTTTTGGTGGTGCTCTCCTTCCTGCAGGAGCTACTGGACGCGGGCCGCACCCCGTCCACGCTCAAAGTGTATGTGGCAGCCATCGCAGCGCATCATGCTCTGGTGGCTGGCCAATCATTAGGAAGGAATGACCTTGTGGTAAAGTTTCTGAAGGGTGCTAGGAGGATTAACCCCTCCAGGCCCCCTTCGGTGCCGCCTTGGGACCTCTCCACGGTCCTTAGGGCCCTGAGGGGACCACTTTTTGAGCCGCTCCAGTCGATTGATCTAAAACCACTTTCGCTAAAGACTAGGGTTGGGTATCGGTTGGGTTTTATCCGATACCAGTACCTACTCGGTATTTTTTAAACGGTTCCGGTGCTTAAACGGTTCTTGAAACGGTACTTAAGAAAACGAAACCGCACACACTTTATCAAAAAATAATACCCTTTTATTTACAAGGCCAAACTGGACACAATATTAACTTAAATCTTTAAACAATATAAATACAAATAATAATAAAACCAATATAAAATAAAAATTCACATTTACATAATATCAAATAAAACAATATTGTATCAAACAATGTAATAATACTGGAGATTAATAGAGATTACTAGCAGGCAGAGCTGCCAACTCTCACGCATTGACCATGAGACTCACGCAAATGACCCTTTTCACACGCTCTCACGCACGCCACACACATCCATTTTCTCACGCAGAGAAAAATCGCGGACAAAGAGTTCACTGACACCGACAGACAAGGTTACTTTTGATATGGAACAAATCCACAGCTGTCAGATTCTGTCAATATTTTTACGAGATTCACACAATAAATAACGTTTTGGCTCTTTGAAATGTGACAGATCGCTGTAGCGCGTCAGTTCAAACGGCACGTGATACAGCAGCCTATACAAATCCACTGCTTCTTAGCTACGCAGCGTTAAGTGAACCTATGAAAGAGAACATCTCTGGTTACTGGTGTAACCTATGTTCTCTCAATAGGGAACGAGACGCTGCCAAGCTCCTCGCGCTGCCGACCAGCTTCCTTTTTCGGCAAAGAAATCTGAGGAGCAGATGGCTCGCGCGCGCCAACATAATATGACGACGTTAGTGCGTCGAGGCGGCGCCCGCGCCATCAGCCAATGCATTGGCTTGATTCTATATGGATTCAGACTATCGGCACACCCAGAGGGCGTTCTGACGCGTAATTTTACACGTGAAATGCAGCCAAACCTTGCGAGCAAGAGCGCGCATGCGAGACAGAAGAGACTGTGCATGTGTGTGTGTGCGTGTGTGCCTAATTAAGTCAGGCACCGAAATCAGGCACCGAAATTGTCGTTCTTATTCGGTCTGGTTACTACCGTTTACGTCGGAACCGGTTCCCTATTGGCACCGAGTTTCGGTACCCAACCCTACTAAAGACTGCTCTCCTGTTGGCATTGGCATCTATCAAGCGAGTGGGAGATCTGCAGGCCCTCTCAGTGAGTCCTGCATGTTTGGAGTTTGGATTGGATGACTCCAGAGTCATTCTCAAACCCAGGCATGGTTATGTACCCAAGGTGCTCTCAACGCCGTTTAGAGCACAAGTTATTACGCTATTAGCCCTTCCCCCTTCTGCCGAGGATGGGGAGGTTAATCGTCTCTGCCCTGTCAGGGCGTTGAGAATCTATTTGGAGCGTTCTGCGTCTTTTAGACAATCAGAACAGCTGTTTGTCTGCTTTGGGGGCCGATCTAAGGGTGATCCAGTCACTAAGCAAAGACTGTCTAGATGGATAGTGGATGCCATCTCTTTGGCTTACACCGCAGTGGGTCAGGTTTGCCCCATAGGTGTCAAGGCCCATTCGACCAGAGGTATGGCCTCGTCGTGGGCTTGGTCATCTGGTTTTCCCATTCAAGATATTTGTGATGCGGCCGGCTGGTCCTCGCCTTCCACATTTATGAAGTTCTATAATATGGAGGTACCTTCCCTGCAGGCGAAGGTGCTTTCGGGTATGATTGAGACCTGACAGTGGCTGGTCTTATCTACAAAAATTACTGTGCATAATCACATACATATTATATAAACCCGCTTCGGCCGGTAGTAAGGTTATACTAATAATCCCGACGGTGTCTGGTTTTGTTAGTATATTCTGTTAGTTGTTACTGACTTATATATATATTATTCAGACCCGACTGTGTCTGGTCTGTTATATATACATGTATATGCATATGTTATTGGGTTCTGGCTTGTTCTGTTAGCTCAGGGGTCCTGAGTGGCAGGGCAACCAGTTACTCAGGGTGCTGCGTTTTGCATGGTGTCCCCACTGCGTATAGCTACGCAATACGAAGTGACCGTTCGAAAGGGAACTACTCGGTTACTATCGTAACCTCAGTTCCCTGAGATAGGGAACGAGTATTGCGTAGCCGGCCGCACTATGGTAACTAGTGAAGTTGTCGCTTCAGTCGTATAAACCTGCTATAATGGCGAATTCGGGGGTCTATATAGGCTGGGCCACGCCCCCTCGACGGGCTCTGACGTTGGGCTAGCTCATTGGTCGTGCGTCAGATTCGCCCGCGCCATTGGATGTGCAGTTGCTGCAGCACAGCCTATGAGCGGGTCAGACGCTCAGTGTGCTAGCTGTGCAGCTGCAAATGCGTTTTAAATATAGGCTTCAGTAAATCTAGGAAAAGGAGTTTCCCCACTGCGTATAGCTACGCAATACTCGTTCCCTATCTCAGGGAACTGAGGTTACGATAGTAACCGAGTAGATTTTTCATCTTTGACATTTATCTGCTTCATGTTTCACAGCACAAAAAAACAGCGTTCATGTAAAAATCCTCTAATGAAAGTTAAAGAAATTGTCTTCTGCTAAATGCTTTTCCATACAATAAAAAAAGAGAAGATCTATCAGGTTCTGTTGATGTCTTCAGCAGATGCCTGCAGGATGGTCTTATGAATTTTCTGAATTTCATTCTTAATCTTCATTTGAAATCGATTTCACTTCACTAAGTTTTTTTTTTATTGGAGTCACTTGGATACCATATGCACTCATGACAAATCATAATTCAAATGAAATGGTAATATCATATGAACAGGTAAGACATGTATAGGATTTTTTCTATTTCATGGTTATGTTTAGGTTTATGTTATCTTATGACATATTTTTCCAGTCTAATTTCACCATATTGTATGAACTCAGGTTTGTCTATACATTTAGTGAATTAAATGAGATTATTAGACTTTTTAGCTCCATTCATTACGTGAGAATAGCATAAAGTGATCTTTCCTTAGTATGCAATGTTGTAAGTGGTATTTACCAAGATAACATTACTAAAACGTTTTTGTACAATAAAAACAGCAGGATACAACCAAGTGATTAGCTATAAACAAAGGCATAAGGATAGTTCAGCCATTAATACAAATTCTGTCATTTACTCACCTTCATGTTTCAAACCCATCTTTCTGTGAAACACAAAAGATATTTTGAATGTTGAGAAACAATGTTTTGGAAAACCACTGAGGGATAGACATTTCTCTAAATACTTTCTTTAAATTCAACAGAAAAAAGTCAAGAGGTTTGGAATGACATGAGGGTGAGTAAATGATGACAGAATTTTTATTGGGTGAACCGTCCCTTTAAGGACAGGGAGCACAACAGCAGTACATTTCTGTAGAAATTCCTACCAGAACACACTTGGAAAACTACTAACTTACTCTTCCCAACGCAAGGTAGAAGCTTTCGAGCTGCTTATAGAGTAACATTTGATACAAAGGGAGCGTTGCTAGGAGAAACCTGTGCTGTTCTGTCAGACTGTCTAATTGAGTGCTGCATTATCAGAGCCAAATTCCACAGGCACACAAAGCAGGGATTATTCCCCGTCAGGGTGTTTGCGGGAAGAGGTGGGGGTTTGGTGCTTTTCTCACGAACCCTTTATACCGGCCAGTCCTTGTCCTCCAAGCTTCACTACTGCTCTGAGATCAGACAGACTGCTGGATGTGTTTTTTACTTTACAGCTCTGTTTCCCTTTCCCTTCTGACACAAGGCAGCATTTAGACTCCCTCATTCCCGCTTGTCCAAACGCGAGGGCGCATCATTTCCAGAATGGTTCAGCAAAGATAAGATTCCCTCATGGTGGAGCGGATCATAAAATGACAGGTTTTCATCAGATTTTTTTTTTCTATTGAGAAACCCAAAAAGTTTTTCCATTTAACCAGAATGACAACAGAAAATTAAAAACTTTATTCATTTAAAAGACAAAACAAAAGAGCCATTCAACAGAATTGCAGTCTCTATTGAGTATTACTGGCAATAAATACAAGATGATTGGGAAGAGGGGAAGGGTAAAAGGAGATATGAGTTGGTCCTAACATATACAAGGGACTATGGCACAATTTAGCAATGTCTTGTTTGGTCAAATGAATTAAACACAGGAAGTAAAAAATACACTTAAAAAAAAAACTCTTAAAAAGCAACAATGCTTAAATTGGCCTGGGAATTGTTGAATCTTTCTGGGTGTCTTTTTTTGTACTGCAGTCAGTTTGTGAACTAGAAATCTGTATAAAATAAATGCTAGAAATTCCATTGCTAAACCAAATCATACACATCGGAGCCTGATGCTCAAAATGAGTTTAAATCTAGGGATACAGATTGTGGTTAATATGTCATGAATGACATTTGGCGAATACTTTCACTTCTCTAACACATCTCAACTTTTAAAAGGACCAAACCTTTAAAACTATAGTCTATTGTCTATCTACCTAATAAAATACTGTATAATCAATAGAGGAATGATGATATAGAAACACTCCTCTAAACATCCGTTTCTTGTCATATAAAAAAAGGCCAGCGAGGGGAAAAAACAACTCGCTTTGTTGATGCAAAGATCCAAAAATATTCATCTGTGCTGTACGCCTGCAGTTTAATAGTCAATCCCATGGTCATAGGGGGCTCTGTATTCACTGTGGTAGTCTGCCTGGTATTCATCCTGATACTCCCCTTGGTATTCAGCCTGGTAGTCGCTGTCGCTGATCTCGGAGTCGTTGGTGCCTGTGCCCTGGCTGCCATTGCTGTGGATGGTGGGCTCAGTGGGGGAGGAGCAGTATTTGGGATCGTACACCTGCCTGCCCAGCCCGTACACGCTCATGCCCTTCTGAGAGGCCACCTTGTTGGTGCCCATTTGCAGTGAGATGGTGGAGTTGTCTAGAGGCTGGACAGCCACTTTCTGGTCGAAAATGTCCCTCCTGGTGCCGGGGGCCGACATGCCAGCCTGAAAGAGAAGAAAGGGTGAATAAAGTCAAAACTGACAAGTCCTAGGATGTTTTAATTGACAATTTTTTTTTTTATGGAATATTGCAGTACCGTATTTATTATAAAGGATTTATCCATGCACATATTTTGTTTAAAGGTGCATTGCGCAACTTTTCATGTTAAAAATACCTGTTTTTCTATCCTATACATGCTTAAAGAACTGCCTGATGGGCTGAATGAGCCCTTCTCTGCGCACTGAGATTGCCTCTATAATCCTGTACAGTAAAATATATAAGAGGAATTCGGGCTCGAATTTGAGACTGGGCGTGACGTCACGCTCAACAGGCTATGTCTCGCAGGTTTGTGTATTCGCCGGCGCCGCCATTCTCCGCATCAGCGAAGACAACTCCTGCGTCAAAGGTAGAAGATGGATTCAAAGAGACCGGCTTGTAGTCCATTCCAAACCCCAACGCAAACTCCACGTAAAGTAAAGAAAAGAAAAATTTTGTCTAGTGCCACCAAAAGGTCCAAATTGGAGTCAGACAGGCGTCGGAGTAAGACGAGAGTCAACCTCGGGAAGGCATTCAACAAATGGAGAGATCTCCGGTCTGCTCTTGGTCTCAAACAGGATCCTCAGTTGGCTTTTTTCTTGATAAAACGGTAAGATATAGCCCAGTCTCTAATGTTTGATACGGCCAATCTATGTATGACAACAAATGACGATGCGTAAAATGTGTGATGCTTTAGTGTAAGCTAGATACATGTACAATCAGAATTGGTTTTACTACCATTGTTAGTGAACAGTTTCATAAACTAGGAATTGTGTTCGGAAGAATAGTACAACATGAAACATAAAACATATCCAATAAAAGATGCGTGTGGTCCATGAGCGTGCACAACTCTAGTTGCAGTTTCGCTTGTCACCAGAGGGGGCGTAGTTCTGCAAAAACTCAGAGACTTGCGTTTTGCACATTTAAATTCAAGTGCCCTTGTAATCTTTAATCAAAATAACTTCCCCTCCCTCTTGCAGCGACATCTCTTCTCAGATGACGAGTTTTTCGGCACGAGAGCAGGACAACCTGTCACCCGTGTGAGATTGAAAAATAGCAGACCACAACCATCCAAACCATCAATTCCTGATGGACAAAATCAAGTCCCGCCGTACATTCATTTTTACTTGTTCAATAAGCAGTTTCACTTGGATATACATCACAACAGGGAAGAAAAGATTATTGTAACTTCCGTTTCATGCTGACTTTAAAGCAGGGGTGTCCAATCCTGCCCCTGGAGGTCCACAGTGCTGCAGGGTTTAGTTCCAATCCAATTAAACACACCTGAACCAACTAATCAAGTCTTGATGATCACTAGAAACTAGGCGTGTGTCTCAATCAGCTCCCTAATTTAGTAATCAGGGCACTGACCAGGGAGTCGGTCATTTTAAGGGCTGTCTCAATCGCAAAATCCTTCCAGTGCACTGACATGTTCGCTCAACGCACAGTGAAAACCAGGGACCATCAATGCTCACTGTGTTCCCTTAAAGGAGAACTCACAAAAATCAGCCAATAGAAATAACGGTTATCCAGGTTTACATGCAAACCAATAACCAGACAATGCAAGTAAACCACGTTTACAAGACTTTATTAATAAATCAGGTTATTTCCTGGTAGTGACGTCAAAATGTAATAATTTGCGTCTGAGTTTGTAATATATTTCCTCCTCCCTTATTGCAAAATGCTCGCTCTGTCTGGATGCGCTTCCTGTCACACATGCCCACTTCAATAAGCCAATAATGCGTTTACATGCTGGGCGAAATCAGCGCAAGGGGCAAAAATCTAGCTGTGATGATCAGTTTATGCTTAAACTGTTCATGACCTTACTCCGAAAATGGAAAAGGGGTTAAAGCGTTTACATGATCATGTGCATGTCAGCTTATTAAGCATAATCGGGTTAAGAACGTGCATGTAAACGCACTCAATGTCAGAACGATATCAGTTCTGGTGTTGTTCATAAATACCAGTAGTGATGTCGTACAAGGAGGATGTTGTCATGTCGCCAGTAGTAGTATCATCCGTGTCTTAATGTGTAGTGAGCCAGCGACCTTTACTATCCTTAGCAGAGCCCAATTCGTGTACATGATATACTGATTCACGCCCTTGGAAGTTAGGGAGCTGTTTGAGACGTAACCTAGTATGTTTGGGGCAGGTTGGAGCTGAACTCTGCAGGACATTGGCCCTACGGGAGCAGGATTGGACGCCCATGTCTTAAGGCCTGATCCCATTAGCGTAACGTCAGCAAGTAGATCCATTGTCAATATATTAGCGATGCAATGTATCCAAAACAGGCAGCTTTATATTGGTAAATGTGGCAAATTTGTGTGCTAAATGTTCAAATAAACTTAAATCTGACGTGAAATACACATGGGAAGTTTTTCCCCTCATGTGATATTACGGATTGTGTGGATTCCTATTGAGATGACAGCATTATGCCCGCAGGATTCTGATGTACAAAGGTATGTGACCACACTTAAAAAAGGGATAGTTCACCCAAAAACGAAAATTCTGTCATTTACTGTATTCATTTTCTGTCCCTTCATTGAAAGTCCAGATAAGTAAAACTTAAAAAGATCCAAAAATGTAATAAAGGCATATTAAAACAAATCTATGCGAATCAGTAGAATTAAGTTAAATCCAAGTCTTGTAAACTAAGAGACAAGATCACTTTGTGTGCTACAGGCTTAATTTAGGCTTTTATTTACGTCTAAAAAGTGATTGACACACATTCATAGAGCACATAACATATGGTAAACACAGAAGCTCAAATGTATGCGTGTATGTGACGCATAACCAATGAGGTTTTGGTTATATCAATGGAGGCACTGAAAACTCAGTTTGCAAATACATTCATATCAGATTCAAAGATAAGTAAATGATAGATTTGTCTCACCTGGCTTGCTCCTTTATTAGTTCCCATCTGCAGGCTGATTGTGGTTTGGTCAAAAGGCTTGTCTGCTTGAGTCTTTGGGTCATACAGATGTCTCCTGGTGCCATATGCGGTCATTCCAGCCTGACTTGCGCATTTATTTGTCCCCATCTAGCCAAGAAAATAAAGGATATATATAAATATACAAAGCATGATTGAGGTAAACTTACAGAAGATAATCCACCCCGACCAAAAATAAAAAAAGTTACAGCAACAAGTTTTTGGTTTCCCAAAGCCACAACAAATATGAACCAACTGAAGTCACACCTGCAGTCCAATCACACATTGACCAGCCTTCAGTTTCTCATCATCAAATTTGGGGTACTGCTTGTCCGCATACTTTACACCAATGTCGACTTTTGTGTCCATACCTTTAGTTTTTGCCTTTGAAAAAGAAAAAAAGAAAAGAATGAAAGTGGCATTATTACAACAACTCCAAATAAAAACTTTTATCATCTCCACAACGATGTTTTGCACAGAACTCACCATGTTGGCCAGGGCAAGAAGTGTGGTCTGAACTTGAGTCAAATTCCCATTTTCGAACAGATCATTAGCCTCAAAGATGTCGTTAGGCTTCAGGCCATAAGCAAGAATGGCTTTGATGAAGTTCCCCAGGTTCTCAAGCTTCAGTGAAAAGAATAAGAAAAGTGATTTTGCTAAAAAAAAAACCCGACTTGAAACGATAAGAAAAATCCATATAACAACATTGAAACAATGCTATACATAAACAGTTTTCCCCTCACCTTGTGCCAGTTAAGTTTGGAGTGGTTGGTTTTCTTAATGGATCCTGGCTGAAGTTTATTAATAAGCCTATGAGAAAGACAAATATTACATCTTATATGAGACACTCAACTTACATGGTCTGATGTTTCAAAAGTGTAAGGTCAGCAACTTTTTTTTTAAAGAAAGCAATCCTTTTTTTAAGCAAGGACACATTACATTGATCAAACAGTAAAAACATTTATAATGTTATAAATGATTTACATTTCAAATAAAAGCTGATCTTTTGAACTTTCTATTCATCAAAGAATCCTGAAAAAAAATAACAACAGTTTCCACAAAAAAATTAAGCAGCATAACTGTTTTCAACACTGATAAGAAATATTTTTTTTATTCACTTTGGTACCGTTTTCACAAGTGATGTGTACATATATAAAATTATACTTAAAACTCAAAAATACAAACTGATCACACTTTCAAATCAGCATATCAGAATGATTTCTGAAGGATCATGTGACATTGAAGACTGGAGTAATGATGCTGAAAATTCTGCTTTAATGACACAGGAATAAATAACATTTTAAAATATATTAAAATAGAAAAAATATTTTAAATTGTAAAAATATTCCACAATATTACCGTTTCAAACTTCATTTTCAATCAAATACATTCTGCCTTTGTAAGCATAAGAGACTTCTTTCAAAAACATAAAAAAATGTAATGGTAGTGTATACCAAGATAACATTAGACAGAACGTTTCTGTCTAAAAAGTTTTTTTAGGGCAACAGCAAACAAAAGAAGTTGTGAACGCCAGACTAGATGGTTATAATATGAACAACACATGGTTTGAGCTTGGCACAAGGTTTTTTTGGGGGGTCTCAGGTCTGAACATTTTAATCACTTCATAATTTGGTGTGTTGTAGGGATACAATAACAAGACAAAAGGTTACAGGTGGGGCTGAGAAGAGCCAAACAAACACAAACAAGCACAGCCATCTGTGCTCCAATCTTTTGAGTTCCTAATCAAACTGAAATGCACATGATGGTTTCCATCATGCTCATAGACTCACTCGCACAGTATGACACCATCCTTCAATCCCATCTGGAAGTTTTCTCCGATTGGCATGCCCGTTACATCCTCAATCCAGTACTTCAGCTCCTCCTCCTTCTGCAGGTCGTACTTCTGAGCGATCTACAGGGACCAGAGAGAGAGAGAGATACTGAAAACTCCATATGTAATCCAAGGCCTGCCACACAAAAAGACATTCATTGCAACTGATAGGGTGCCAATAAAGTATGGTAAGGTTAGGTAGCAACAGTTTCCCTGGTGAACCTAAATAACTGGAACTGAGAACACGTGCATGGAAACTTTCAATTCATAAATTCATAAACTTCCAAAACAACGGGTTTTTGAGCGTGCATGTGCCGTCATGTTTTGAGGTTAGTTTTGGAAAACCGTCTCATCTTCATCTCTGGGTAGTTTGTGCGGGACTGGAGCCAAGCACAGTAAGATGGACAGGAAATTACAGAGCGTTGCCCCATCTGTGAACTCTGGCTTCAGGAGCAGCTCCAGACGCCTGTCAGGCCCCATTACTGCCATTCAGCAAACAGAAAAGTATTGAAAGGACTTATCTTGCCTACAAAAAAAAGCCTCTATAGACTTTCAAATAGATTAGCTTGTTAACTGTCAGTAGGTGCGTTTACATGGAGCATTGTATTCCAATTACAATCTGTGTATAAAAACCCAATCCGGACTCTCATCTGAAGACTGATTTTAACTGCTTGATTAATATAAGCATCATGGCACAAAGCTTTGTGTGCTTGCCATCTCCTAATTACGACCAAAAATATAAATATTTAAATAAATATACTGCTTTTTAAAACAATGATTAGCATGTGACAACAGTGATTTCTGTGTATGTCAAAAGATTAAATCCGATTTGATGTTTGTCACATCAACCCGATCACTTTATTTAGCGTTCATGTAAACACTACGTTCGGACTGATCAAACAGAATGATTTAAAAAAAAAAAAATGGGGGTAACGGTTAACAGGTTAAATTATGCACAAGTTTTGTATCAATTAAATCAAGTCACTTCATGTTTGAGAGGTAGTCCTTACGTCCAATGTCACTTTAAATGCCTTCAACTAGTCTGGTCTTGAAAATCACTTGTAAATGATTTGTAAAACATATTCTATCAACCAAACAATAGCAGTTTGGTTCTTAACTTCAGCTGAATGAAATGTGTGAGGTTCCAAAGAGGTGACAAGCTAAAACATGTCCGCTTCTAGGGACAACTCTTTTGTCCCCTTCAAGAAATAAATAGCAATTGAGAAACTTTCCTTTTACCTTGTATAACAATTTAAGGCCTTAACATTCATATAAAAAAAGACACTTTCAAAAGACATAAAACTTTGTCTGTTTCTTTAAGAAGTCCTTCATTATGAGAGGACAATTGGAGCAGAACATTGACCGCCCCTTTGGTTCAAGAAATATTTCCCCCATTCATTTTCCCCACAGGCATTTCAAACAATTCTTCCATTTCTCAATAAACATTTCAAAGCCTTGACCCAAACCAAACAACTAGGCTATAAGATGAACCACAACTCAAACTTCTTTAGGGAAATGAGAACATTAAAGGGGAGGGGGGGATATATTGGCTGATAAATCTAAATCCACATTTTTATATAACTTTTGCAAGCCTAATTATTACAAAAACAAGTCTCACCATTAGAAGCCATGTTCAGTCCTAAGCACTTCTGCATAAATCAAACATATACAGTAGCCTATTTGAACCAGTGTAAGTTTTAAAATTAAAAATTAAAAGCATCCTATGATATAAAACCGATATACTGTACACAAAATAAATATATTACAACTTATAATTGCACAAAACAAAAGGCTGTCAATGCACAAGCCTTATAGTCAAAGGTTTAACTCTGTTGTGGATGTGCTCTTCCCGTAACGACATGGTAAACTACGGGCGTACAACGAATTAACAACATTTTACAGTAGTGTTATTATAATTTTATGTAGACTTGCGCTGCACATGTTGCACTTAACTTTATGAAGTGATTCCAATCATATTTCAAGCAATTCAAAACCATCATGGTGAACAGTGTGTATCTAAGCGTCTCAGCTGAAGGAAATAATCCATTATTTATGAGCTTTGATATATCAGCCAAATTTTCTTATTGGGTCATAAACTATATCATTACAAATTATCATATATTGGCCGATACAAATATGGTGGCCGATATATCGTGATGTGTATCCCTAGATGTTACTGCAGAACTTAGTCATTGTTTTAAATGAATAAAACAATTGATAAATAATCAAATAATAAATAAATAAATATTTTAGATTTCCCATGTAGTTCTTGACTGGGATTTCAGCGATTTTAAGTGCTGAAAATCCCCCTGACATACATAAAACCTAAAAGCTCATGGCAGGTCTATTCTAAAAGATTTATACATTCTCACTCAAAATATCTCTAAAAAAATAAAAATGAAAGGGATTTTCACTTTGGGAACACAACTGTTGTGCTCTATAAACTGTTGTGGTCTTTTACTTCAGCTATGTGTCAGCATTAGTTCAACAGGAAATGAGTCTGACAAAAACAACAGCAAAACAAACAAACAGAGGACCTTCCATGTGTCACCATGAGTATACAGCAGGCATCACTCCTAGTGTCTTCTGGTTGGGGTGAAGGAATGACAGTGATGAATGACAAGCAGAACTTGAATTGAGACCATATACCCTATTATTAAAGTGTTATTGTCAAGTCTCCTTAAACACAAGAAAAGGAGATAATCATCACTTATCACACAATGCCTGAGGTGTTTGTCACACTTAATGTGGATCCTAAAACACTAAAACAAACAACACAATGTACACTAAAAAATAAACCTCATCAGAGCAAGATAAAGCTGAAAAACCTTGTTTCCACCCAATTCACAACACACATTTACCCTTGAGAAAGCTGACAGACATCCTGTTCCAATACATGTTGCTTTTCACAGCGGCCCCAAAAATTTATTTTGTAATCCACAATACTACGATTTCCAAATATCACCTGTGTGAATTATTTGCCATTGAATTTAATTATAACTTCTGATTGTTGCATTTAAAGCAATTTATGATGGTGTAAAAAAAAAGCAAATCAAGTTACTTTTGCACATAAAAACGAGAGATGTTCAAGAGATACATACATATCAACCGATATTAGAGTCTTTCATTTTAGTCAATATTGAATAATCATTCATGATAATTTCCCCTATTTTTACATTTAGATTTATTTTGCTTCACCTGACATTCACTTGCAGTTTTAAAACACTATTATTTAATATCACTTTTAAATGTAATCTTCAGAAAAATCTCAAAATGTATATTTATCTTCCATTGCACTGTACATTATAACTGTGATGCTTAAATTCACCAGGTGAATATTTAATAGGCTACACCAGATTTTTGTTTATAGCATTTTATGTTTCATTTATTTAGATAAAATGTTATTAAAACATGAAAGTAATTATTGGTGTTGGCACAGATGTTTAATAGGTGCCTCCCTACTAAAAATCATAGTACTCAGAGAGGTCAGAGGATTAAAGCACCAGCACCGTTACAATGGAAGAGAGAAATTCCTACTAAAGCAACAGTAAGCAAACATTTAGGCCTTGCATAGAGCATTCGCCAAAAAACAACAACTGATCTTTCTACCCAACTTGAAAAAGTCCCAATAAAGAGCCAGTATAGGCCCAAAAGAAGATTCAAATAGCACACGCAGCAGCTAAAGGCTGATGAGAGCAACACGATCTCCCTCTGAATCCTTCTCATAGCCCATATCAGACTCCTTTATCACCATCTTATACCGCTCTGCAACTAGGACATCAGTAGAGTCTTCACATCCAGCTGTCCACTTGCCATTTTCCACACAATAGAGCTTGTGTTCCTACTAGAGCATTTAAGGAAAAGGAAGAAAAAACATGTAGGAGAGCATTGATACATGTTTCCAGACAGAGTCCCTCGACCCAGAGCAGAGAGTGAAGTTCCTGAAGACTGAGAAAACTGGGAGAACATCTGTATGTGGCCCTGTGAGAACAACATGTTGGGAGTTCTGCTGGCCTCATGGACAAAACCAATCATGTGGGGGTCAAAAACCGAGCATAATAAAAAAGAAACACTTGCAGGAAGTACTTAAGGAATCCAGCCAGAGCTACACAGAGGGAAAGGATCCTGCCTACAATGCGGTTATTTGCTGGAGGGAAGAGCTTTAACAAAGATCGAATGCTGTGAAAGAACTTGGTGAAAAGCACAGCAGTTTCTGCTGATCAATAATTCACTCCGTTGCTCTGGAAATGTCTACCAGACTAAATGTGGCAGCAAGGTCTGTGGTGTATATACAGACTACAAGATGCGTTCGCGCATAACAATTGGTTTATATGAAAATTCTTTGCATCACAGGAACACATTATTTTTCAAAATATATTCAAATAGAAAATATTTCACAATAATACTGCTTTTACTGCATTTGATGAAATAATCTCTTGCTAGGTGAGCATAAAGGCCCTGATATACTCAGAGCAAAGTTCTTTTTAGGTTTTCGTTTCAGGCTAAAAAGAAGTTCGAAATACATGACCAGTGGTATACTGTTAGTGAACATTGTGATGCCGATGCCACCCACACTGCTGAGCGGTGTTTAGATAAATATGGAAATATGTGCCGTGCCGTGCGTTTTCCTCTCAATAACAAAACAACAAAATTGAGAAAACAGCAAGCATTTTTTTTAAATAAAAGCATCTGATCATAGTAACGTGGATATGTTTGCACGGGCTATGCAATTCGGCACTCTACAGTCACGTCACGTTTATTTACGGTTCACTTTATACAATGGATTGCTTACAATTAAGAAGCTTTACCGTAATTAACATGAAAAACGGACCCCAAATGAAGTTCGTTTTGGCCTGATTTTGTTCGAAATGTCGTCACATCAGTTCATTCTTCGATGTAACTTGAAGTATATCGGGGCCTTAAGACAGCATCTGATCATAGCGTTGAGGACATTTGCACAAGCTCTGCAATTCAGCAATCCAGTCAAACCATGTCACGTTTATAAACCACTTTGTACAATGCAGCCTATTGCAAACAGCTTTACAGTACTAAACATAAGTGTCAGCGTCTCTTTCAATTAGAATTACAACTTCATTTTCTACAATAAAGCGGCTCTCCAGTGTGTTCATGTTTTTACTCGCGGACGTCTGACCTCGATGGACTAAACAGAAGAAATTAACCAGTTTGTTCTCCGATTCCACTTGAAGTATTGGGGCCTTAAAATACTTTTTTTTTTTTTTTAAACAGACTTTTAAAAAAGACTGGTAAATATTGTGATGTTGCGTGCTGTAGTCATGGCCAGCTTCGCTGTGCAGCAAGAGGTGCGGTGTGTTTCCGTCACCAGTTTTGACGTTATCATTGCGTTACACGTAAAGAGAGACGCAAAAGACCATTTGAAATCCTATTTGAGCGGCCAGAGGATCCAGACTGGGACGCATCTGTAAAAATCTGAATTGTATTTCAAACCACCACCAAATTTCCTATTAGTAATGGAGTTTCCTACAGTAAGTTCTCTCCAGATATTTGCATGGCATCCCAACAAAGTGCTAATGAAAGTCAGCTGGGGGCAAGTGGCCTCACACCTCTGCAGATGGCAAAGGACTCAAGAAAGCATCACCCCACTGTGGTTTACATTGTTTGCCCACCCTCCCACTCATTCTGACTAAACACACGCACGTACACAATTAATGAGATACATGGTGTGTGTGATGGGAATACTGTTGAAAAGCACTAAAATGACCAACCACAGACACTAGGGGTGCGTCGTCTTTGTGTGATTTTCAAATGTGATAAGCAATTAAGACAACAAAGAAGATTGTAGCCTAATGGTTAAAGGTCTTAGCCGCTAACAAAAAGTCTGCAGGTTCTAACCCAGGTGTGTGAATGTGGAATTGATCCCTTGAGCAAGAAAGTTAATCCCAGGTGCACCAGATGGACCATCATTAGTGCAGGACTAGGTCATTTTGCATGCAAGAAAATAAGCATATGGGACATAAATAAAAACAATAGTTAGGAGCAATGGTTTAGCTGAACTATTCGTTTAGGTCTAGTTTTCAGACCTTTGATTAAATAAATCAAATAACATTTTATGGTATATTTATGTGCAGAGAAAACAAGAAACATTACGAAATAAAAATAAAAAAAACAGTCGCTTGGCAATTTAGCAGAAAAGCCAGTGTGATTAAGTGACGCTTTAACCTTTTCCTGAACACCCCCTCCCAAAACAATTAAATAAAACTCAAACAAGGTTGAACTTAAATGGATTGTTTTACAAATTAAAAAAAAAATCCAAAAGGAGCGCCTACAAATATGTTAACTACAAAAGTACGGAAAATTATGCCACACAACATGTTTAAATATCAAGTCCTTTAAAAACGAAAGAAAACTCCGGTTTAAAATGAGATGCTGCCTGCACGCGCATCACCTCGGCCAAAGTTCCCATAACACATTTCCACACAAACCAGAAGAAATGACATCGTTAATCTCACTAAACCTTTATTATACACGCATTGACGCGTATTTGGACTAATAATGTCATCATTTATTGGTTTTATTAGTGTTTGTGAGTTTATCTGCAGAGAGCATGCGGCAGCCTCGTTTCTTTCTCTCAAACTGGAGCTCCACCCAGAACTCAACAAAAGACCCCATGATGACCCACCAACACATCAGGTTACAGCAGGCAAGCTTTACCAACCTTTACTAACAGAATAAAACCTGAAATGTCAAGGTTTGCGTCTTGCAAATGACAAACAGCATCTCAACATGTCGAGAAAAGCAAATCACGTCGCGTGCGTAAAAAGTTTCATTCATTGAAAGTAGGGTTGTGCGACATGAAACACGGACTATTTATTCTTTCTACGTACAAAAGTATGAGGAATTGTGCTTTATAAACAAAACAAAAAAATCAATTAGTAGTAAAACAAAGATGGCAACGACCCTAAAATCAAAATCTCAGTACAAACAAATCAAAGGAACCAGGTGAAAATGAAACACAAAGGCTTTATCTCAAAACCTAACGTTAACTGTTACAGGGACAGCGCCTTCGGCTATCCTAAGCACGCTTAGTACTAAATTATACGACATTTTTTGATTCTGAACATGTCTGTGATGCCTGAAAAGCTGACTCTAGGTAAGCATTTTTGGTTTGAGACAGTTACACTTTCATACCTATAAACATTTGCAATGCAAAGACACATTACAAACTAATCAGCTGACGTTAAAGTACACTGTAAAAGCATTCAAACCTTACCTTACTTCTCACTTCAGCTGATAAACCATATGCAGGGCCCTTGTTGAACTGAGTCATTGTGTTTTATTTCACGTCGCACCAAAGAAATGATCAGAAATCTCACGATTTCTTACTTGGCTTTCCTTGTTCGAGAAAAGATCTTTTGCACAACTTTAAAAAAAGCAACAAATACGTGAGTTTAGGCTAGTCAAAAATGACTGCCGATTTGTCCCAGCTGAGCGGATGCACTAAACTCTCTCTGCTCAGCAAAGTAATTAAAGAAGAGCAGAAGGTCTGCTGCTGAGCGTAAGCGAATTTACGAAATCTACTACGGTGAAGGCTTGAGTTGGGAATATTAATCAGTTTGCGTGACGCAACACAGTGTCGCTTCCTGATTGGCTGAAACGCAGACGTTGGTTTGTGGCGCTTGTGAAATGGCTACGGTGGAAGTTTAGCTCATAAATATTAATAGATTTGCGTGCTTGGACGATATCGGGCTGATTTTCTCGAAAGCATCTTGAGGAAAGTTGATCGTAGAGAGGTTTGGTGGCAATGGTTTTACGATGCTTTTGGGAAACGCAGGCCTGGACGCCACGGTGGACGCTACAAGACCGTTCACCAAGCAACGTCAGCAGACTATAAATATTTAAAACGTAAGCCCACGCTCTAGTACGAGATCTTTTTTATTATTATTAATAGTAGGCTATAATGTATTGTTTCAAAATGTCTAATATTAAAACATAAATAGGCCTACAAAATACAAATCATTGTAGCATAATGTAGGCCTAACTCATAATACAGAAAATAGAGAAAAGTATTAAAAAAATACCTTTGAGCAAAACAATAGACGATTTCATTGTTCATTTATTTTTACCGATTGCATATTTAGACTGTTTAACGTACGCTTGTGGTTGTGGGACATCCTACTCCTACATGTGGAGTTCAGCCCCCTCTCAACATGTGTTTCCTGAGCCTCGCTATCAGGAGACACTATTGTCCAGGAAACACCAATAAAGAGTCAAGGCCAGAAATAATTCATCCCAGACATAAAGAGATTTCTCTCACCTTTTGAATTCCTCCTCGGAAATGTTTGGGTTCAGCATTCAATGCCACGTCGTGTAATGCTATAATGACTTTTTTTTTTAACATCATCAGATGTCTATCACTTCTGAAGATGAAACATGCCATAGCATTATGGTTTTCAGCCCCTGATTTATAATAAAAATGGAAAGTACCATCGTGCCTAGACATGCAATTAATTAAGGACAAGACAAAACTTGCATTCTAATGATATAGCGGGCGCGTGTTTAGCCCATCACTATAGTGATGAAACAAAGAGTCTGTCGGGAAACAAGGTGTGTTTGCCATTGTAAGTGATTGTTCCCAGACAGGACAAACACAAGACCCACCACTGTGTAAAATTGTAACATTAATACTGGCATATGAGTTTGTCCCATTTAAATCAGTAAAGTAGCTATTTAAGGCAATTTCTGCCATGCAAGAAATTAATGCTTTGGTAAATCATAATTCTGACATAAAAAGCCAAATTTATGACATAAAAAGTGGAAAATATTATAAAATGTCATAATTATGACTTTTGTGTCACGATTGATAAAATGTTTAAACTACTTAAATTCCAAGTTTCTTTTCCTTTATCATGCATGTTTGCAGTTTTCCAGTAAATCAACAGGTTACACAAAACCCATGAATATTTCACTCAACAAGACATGAAAAGGAATGTTTAGTCAGCAACAGAATTTCCCCCTTTTCCGTCTCCAGTAAACCTGTTTTGAGTATTCATTTCAGCCAGCATCTAGTTTGCTATAAGTTTCCACTATTCTGTTATATAACACAGAGCTAATAAAGTAAAAATATATAGGCCACATTTGGGCACAACATCACTTTAATTTTCCATGAGCAGAACTCTTCTGGGGGAGAACGGTTCATCAAACAGGAATGCCTTGTTGCTCCATGATCCCTGAGGCACAGCATGCAGAGGGACTCAACAACAACAACAACAACAACTGTGCTTTAGAGGTGGATGGGATGTTATTACCTGAAGATGCAGGGCAAGACTAACCGCTCCATTATGGCTCTAAATACAAGAAGACTCAGTTTTACCTTTGGAGTGATTTGGGTTTATTTTGTTTGGTTAAGTCTGATAATTTAGGGCGAGGATTCAGGAAATTGAGGACGACAGGGCAACCCTAGCTAAATATACAACATTCATTCATTCATTCATTCACCAATAGTGTCATTGTTCGGACAGTAGGCTAGTACCAACCACCCCCTCCTGGTCTAACACATTTGCCTGAAGCTCATTTGCTATCAAGGAGAGAAAAAAGTTGGATGTCTTGCTCCATCTAGTGGTTCCTCTATGCAATGAAGTTAATTTAGGATAGATATAAAATTACACTGGACAACTGCATAGAAGAGAAAGCACTTGCTGAGTGAATATGGAGAATAGAGAGAGAGAAGGTCACTTAAACCCTGCGTTCATCCCCGTGTCCAGCTGTGTTCACCTCATGAACATGCTCCATGGCCAGTTCAAAATGGGTCTTTCATAACGGAAAGGGTAAGTCTGATCATGCATTATTTTGACTTCATTTAATCTTTTAGTCGCCAAAAAGAAGGACTGCTAGAGAAAATGAATTGCAAAAGAAAGTGAATGAATGATTGAACCGAAGAATCCGACACAGAAAATGATAAAGACAGCATGACCTACAGCATTTTGTTTCCTGATTATTTGGCTGTTTTTTTGTTGTGTTTTACTCCTGTATGTTCAGTGCACTTACACACTCACATTATTCTCTACATTTCTCCTCTTTAGCTTGCTTCTTTAGCATTGTTTATTATATTGTCGGCTCCTTGGTTTTGTTCTTCTTTTGTAAGTTGCTTTGGATAAAAGGATCTCCTAAATGCATAAATGTACATGTGAGACAATCAGTAGAATTCAAATCTGACAAGGTCATGCCGGCTTGACTTCCTCCTATACTACTATCAATTACCAAAAACACTGAAGCTTGATGCCTTTTTCAAGGGTACGAGGACAAAACAAGGGAGTGGTCCTGTCCCAGTAGACCATAACAATGCAACATTGATCACACGCATTGATTTCCAGCTGTTTCATTTCGATCGCTGTCCATACTGCAGGACACGCTCCCCTCAGCCAGGATAGAAGTTTGTGTATGCAGCACAAACCCAACACACAATCAGCTGTTTCTTTTGGGACGCCAGGATCTCTGCGACCCGAATGCATTTCAGACTGGACAAAAGCCACTCGTGGCTCCATAAATCACGGATGAAGCAATCTGAGACGTGTTGGAGTCGCCTGACCTCTTGATGTCTGTGTCAGCACATATGCAAATGCTTATTTATACCGGGGGATTTGGCAGGAGAGAGGTACTGCGGCAGCTCAGGTGATGACTGGGGCTTTTATGTTCGCAACCGGTCTGGAGTAAGAAACATTTTGTTTTGTTAAAGAGGCGGGTGATTAATGTGTGTTGGGCTGGGGTTTTGCTGAACGTTCGCCGCTGTCTCTCTCTCTCTCTCTCTCTCTCTCTCTCTCTCTCTCTCTCTCTAGGGCTCAGCTGGCATGGAGCCTCTCAGCCTGCAGGTGCTGGTGGTTGTAACATGGAGCTTCCTGGGCTTCCAGTGGCTGTTCCATAGAGGTAGCCCTTGGGTGTCTCAGCACCTCTCCAAAGGCTTCCTCGGGCTCAGCCCTACACAAAGGACGGAGTGGAACTCCAGGTGTCAGATTTTATCTTCTAAATGCATGTTTTTATATAGCGAATTTGACTAAAGTTGGAAGGTCTCTCTTTTTCCTCAAAGGACCGTCTCAACAGTGCACGCCCTGGTTGTGGGACTTTTCTGCCTCTACATATATATCTTTGATGAACCTATCCAGAAAGACCCAGTCTGGTGAGGATTTATAGATCTAATCCATTACAAATGTGGTGGCACAACTTCTTATGCAACATTGTTTCTGTCCAAACAGTACAGTCTGAACTTGAACACTCAAACCTCTAAGAATTTGTGATTACAGGGGAGATGCCACACTGGTGAAACTAAATGTGGCCATTACCTCAGGCTACCTCATCTCTGGTGAGTGAAGGGTTAATGATGTGATGCTATATCTATTCATTTATGCAAAAATAGATAGAAAAATGCAGTTCATAATGATTTAAATACATTTCTTCTATGATGAGCATTGTTCAATTTCTGAATTTTAATTTATTAACTTTTATTATTATTTTTTAGAAAAACAAATTGTTTAACAAAACTGCTTAATTGGTTTTTAATATTTAATAAAAAAAAATAATGTAGGCTAAAAAAAAAATTGTCCGTAACATTTTTTTTAAATGTATTTTAAAAAGCGCATTTGTGATATACATATGTGCAATTTATATTCGATTATTGAATACACCTTAGCACATTTTTAATTTCTGAATTAAAACAATTTTGATAATTTTGGGGGGCATTATGTAAAAAAAATGTCTTGATATAATAAAGAAAAAAGTGAAAAGAAACCCGTATTTAGTACTTTTATTATTTCTTATAGGAAAAAATATTTTAACAAATGTTTTACTTTTTAAAATATTTTTTCACTTAATTAATGATAGCCTATACGGTATTTGTAAAAATTACTTTTTACTTTGAAAAAATATATATTTTTAGGAATAATGATTAATATTACATTAATGTATTGAAGGTGTATGGAAAATATGTTTCTGCTTTTTACTTGATGTTACTCTCGCAAAGAACATTCTCTGTTCCTCTTCAGATCTCCTGCTCATGTTTACTTCATGGGAGTCAATTGGAGAGAAATACTTTGTCATACATCATTTTGCTGCTCTCTATGCATACTACTATGTGCTGGTAAGTTGTGTTTCCAGCCGGTCTGCTCTGGTGTCTCTAACTTCCACAAGACTTCCAATGCCATTTTGTGCTTTTTCTTTTTCTGTAGAGTCAAGGGATATTGCCTTACTTTGCTAATTTCCGTCTGCTCTCAGAATTCTCCACCCCCTTTGTCAACCAGCGGTGAGTAATATGTAAAAATATAGATGTAAAACCATACAATGAAGCACATTTTCTAATTGCATTTTTTTAACGTCTTCCAGTTGGTTTTTTCACATGTTGGGCTACCACAAACTTTCCAAACCGAGTTTGGTTAATGGTGTTGCCATGGCATTTGCATTCTTCTTGGTGAGGATCGCAGTCATTCCAGGCTACTACAGCCATATGTACTCGGTCTTTGGCACAGATGACTTCTACAAGTTACCTCTGGGAGGCCGCAGTGCCTGGGTTATTTCTAGCGTGTCTTTGGATGTTATGAACCTCATGTGGATGCGCAGAATCATCCGTGGATGTCTCAAAGTCCTTCACTCAGCCTGGTCGAGAAAAGCAGGAACTGAGATGGAAACTAGAAAGACAGACTGACATGACATGGAGATACAAACAGAAACTGAATACATCAGCACACAAACCATCCATCTAGTATCATGTCCTATGCTGGAGTGCATATGTTTGTATTACTTCCTGCTGCTGTAATGCCGTGACAGCAGTTTTGAGTTTCAAACCAACAAATCGAGAGCTTAGAAAGCCAGTCGTTGTATTAATGATGACTTACATGATGTCATCTTCAAATATGGACTCAACTGGAGGAATTAAATCACAAACGCTCTTTCAGTTTAAAAAAATCAGGTGATTAAGTGGCAAGAGTCTGATCAAATATACAATCAGGACAATAGTTGTGGTTGCACTATTTATTATAAAGCTGCTATTAAGATCAACCAACTTGCCTTTATCAATGCAATCAACAAAGCGACAGCACATCTGAACTTCCACAAGGATTCACAGTGTGTGTCTGTAGACCACGATAAACAACTTTTTGACTACAATATGGATAAGGTTATATATAGAGAGAAATATATGACATTATAAATGTATAGTGGAAATGTGGGTTACATGTATAGGTGAAAGTTCCTGGTTTTGCAGGATTTGTACTCGAGAAACCATGCATGTCTGCGTATAATTATTGCATATATGGAGAGTATTATGTATGTCTGGAATGGAAAACATCAGGTGGGACTATGTTATATAATATGTGTTTCTATAACGTGATGCAGCCATGTATAAGCTTTTTGTAGTATGTGGCTTGCCAGTTGGATTTGGAATAATAATGACAATTATGTAAGCTTCAATAAGATAAGGCTTTTCAGGTTATTTATCATTATTTACTTCACCGTTAGGTAGGCCTATGCGGTTAAACATCAGCAATGATATGACTTGAAAAAGGTAGGCCTATATGAGCTATTCCAACTGGAATGAATTTCTATTAGCCTATACTGTGATGTCAAAAATGCTCATGTAATGGACTGGATGTGTGTTTCTGTGGTGTGACAATGAATAAACTGCTCAGTTTTACACTTTACAGTGTGAGGTCACATGAGTACATTTAGCCAATTTTATTATGTTAGTTATTACAAAACTGTATAATTCACTTAGAAACATGCAGTGTTGCTCACGAGTGGTGTTTTGCTTGTTACTCTCAAAATCTCAAATCTTTTAAGTAAGCAAATAATTGGTGTGACTGACTTGTTCAACCGAGTTCCTCTCTTTTAAAACTCTAAAAAAGTAACGTGTTTCGGTCATAAACAACTTAGTGTTTAACTGAAGGCATATTTTAGTGATAGGATTTTACAATATTTGAGATCCATAACTTACCACAGCAAAAACCTTTTCTTTTTAAAATGCTCTTTTGAAATGCTCTCCCCATGAAACAATTGATGGAATTGATGGTTCAGAATATTCAGTGAGTAAAATAATATAATAAAAATGATTATTACCATTTTAAAATAATTGTATTTTTAAACTAGATCGTCATTTAAATAAAATAAAAATACAAACTCCAATCCTCTAGGGGGCAGTATGCATCTGGATGCCCATGCGTGCCACACACACGGCGTGATGCAATGACCCAGAGCATCTTGGGATATGAGGCATATTTTTGGTGAACGACATTGACAGTAGAGGTGTGAGGTAAGTGTTACTGTTATATAGCGGTTAGTATTTTATCAGAGATATTTTGCGCATGTACAGTAGTTTTAACAGTGTAATTTGAACAATACGAGCTGTTAATGCCGCCACCTGGACAGACTAGTACATGCTTTTATCTTATGCATGTGTAACTTGTTACATACCGTTCTATAAGAGAGGAGTCTTGTATAACATTTGTTGCACAACTTCCCAAAAGCATAAGTTTGTAGTAAATTCTGCAGATATCAATAACATTTGATCTTGAAGTCCACGGACTGGGATAGAGAAAGGAAGACACGTGTAAAGATTTTCAATGTTTATTCATAGTGACACAGCAGCCAATCAGATGTACAGTTTGACAACTATAAGGCAAAAACACTTTATATCTCTTCTTAATTTCTAATGTAGATACTCCCCAGTGTACTTTGGCTTGATATGTGGGAATACTAGTAATATATGTTGTTATTTCTTGTATGTTGAATTTGCATCAATCATAATATTATTAATAAAAACTATATTAAAAAAATGAAGACAAGGTATGTTCTCAAAAGTCTCTGATTCACAAAATCCTGCATGTATCAAGCAAGAACACAATAGTTGAGTTCAGATGTTATTAAAGCATTTTATGCATGCATGCCATGTACTGTATATATAGCCTAACAGCAGTAATATGCTAAATGTAAAGACTTACTGTGTTATTTTGTCTTTTTTTGTCTGTGAAGCTGATGGGAGACACTATGTCCAGCCCTACAGGCACCGTGAAGGCAGAGGGCATCATGGTGCCACCAAAGGGCTGTCCGATGCATCAAGATGTTATTAAAAGTGAGAAGGTTACTCCAGTACTTCAGCAATTATAATAATCAGTTATCTAGAAAAATCCAGGGGTTTTTTTTGTGTGTGTTTTTTTTACATGTACAGCAGGGCTGCAGCAACTAACAATTATTTTCTTAATCGATTAATTTGTCCATTATATACTCGACTAATCGGAAGAAAAAAATCTAACAAAGACTCCTTATTTAAAAATAATAATTGTAGGCAATATAGCGAACGTATCTATAGGCTCTAGGCTGTGCCATAAATTATGTGCATGATTATCATCCACCAGTCACGTCACTTTAACAATGCATTTCTATGACAAAATGCATTCTAACATTATTAATATTTTTAATTTAGCTTTAACTTCTACTTTAAAAAGTAGATGGTAAACAATCATTTGTTTTGTGTGTTTAGAACGTAGTTTATATTTTAACCCGTTTTTCCATGCACAGCGCACAGACAATAAATCATTAATTAAATTTGCTGTAGATTATTTTCATTATCGATTATGATCGATTGTATTGATCAGTTGTTGCAGCCCTTATATACAGAATTACAGAATACACAGGTTTAATCTCAATGTTCTCCTCAGTTTTCCTTCTTAACATCCCCAACAGGTGCCCCTCCGCCAGAATGTCCAATGCATCAGGTGTCTGCTCCTGCTAGCGATCAGCTAGAGAAAGCACCCGATGTACCAACACATCAGGCCAGGGCTTATGAATTTGTAGAGTGCCCTATGAGAGCTGCTGACGGGGCTAAACCCACATTGTCTGACATTAATCCAGCAAACATGGTACTTTGCCCCTTTGAAATTGGTTACCTGGATGTTTAGATGTACTGAGACTCCTTTCTACCATTCAGCCTTATTTATTTTCTGTTCTCTATAGATGCCACCACCTAACCAGCAACCTACACCTGGTCAACCGTTCCCCCTGTCTGTTAAAAGAGAGGAATCTACCATCCCTCGTGGTGGATCTGAGCAGAACTGGGTTTATCCCTCAGAGCAGATGTTCTGGAATGCCATGCTGAGAAAAGGGTGAGTTCCCGAGGGAGGAAAAAGCAATGTGCATCTAATTAGCATAATCACCTTCATTGCTTATGACTCAAACTTCCACCAGGTGGCGCTGGAACAAAGATGATATCAAAGAAAAAGATATGACAAACATCATCAGGATTCACAACCAGAATAATGAGCAAGCCTGGCAGGAAATCCTGAGATGGGAAAAGCTCCATTCCAAGTAGGTCACATGTTAAAGGCAGCTGTGTATCCTCAGATGTCTCAGAGTAGAAGATTCCTGATGTTCTGCTGTTGTTCTCCACAGAGAATGCCCATGTGGACCTTCTCTTCTAAGGTTTGGTGGCAAAGCAAAAGACTTTTCACCCAGAGCCAGATTTCGCCACTGGATGGGGTAAGTAACGGTATCCCTTAAAGGATTAGTTCACTTTTTAAAAAACTTTTGCTGATAATTTACTCACCCCCATGTCATCCAAGATGTCCATGTCTTTCTTTCTTCAGTCGAAAAGAAATTAAGGTTTTTGATGAAAACATTCCAGGATTTTTCTCCATATAATGGTTTTCAATGGTAGCCAAACGGTTCAAGGTCTAAATGACCGTTTCAGTTCAGCTTCAAAGGGCTTTAAACGATACCAGACGATGAATAAGGGTCTTATCTAGAGAAACGATCTGTCATTTCAAAAATAAATAAAAAAGTTAAATTGTTATAGGCACAAATGCTCGCCTTGCGAACTCTCCTGTTCGAACTCGTACATCAAAATGAACGAATCTTTTTTAGAGTCATTGACTCGTTCATCAAAATGAACGAATCTTTTTTAGAGTAATTGACTCGAAAAAAGATTTGTTCATTTTGATGAACGAGTTCGAACAGGAGAGTTCGCAAGGCGAGCATTTGTGCCTATAACACTTTAACTTTTTTATTTATTTTTGAAATGACCGATCGTTTCGCTAGATAAGACCCTTATTCATCGTCTGGTATCGTTTAAAGCCCTTTGAAGCTGAACTGAAACGGTCATTTAGACCTTGAACCGTTTGGCTACCATTGAAGTGCATTATATGGAGAAAAATCCTGGAATGTTTTCATCAAAAACATTAATTTCTTTTCGACTGAAGAAAGAAAGACATGGACATCTTGGATGACATGGGGGTGAGTAAATTATCAGCAAAAGTTTTTTTAAAAGTGAACTAATCCTTTAAAACTGGTGTCCGGGGACTCCCATGGGGCCACAAGGGAGTGCTGGGGGACAGTGGAGAAGTTTCGAGAAAAGCAATGTGTACAAAAATAAATTAAATTAAAATAAATAAATGTGATTTTAAAAGAATATAAATAAGTTATTATTTAAATGAATATCAAAAACATTTCAATAAAATAAATATAATACTAAATGTATACATTTGATTAATTAATTTAAATTAAAAAATAGGAAAAGCAGTGTAAAAAAAAAAATGATAAAAATATGATTTAACTAAATAAATTGATTCAAATAAAAATATATTAAATGAAATTTGATTTAAATAAATAAATAATCAATTAATACATTTAATTCAAAATAACTTGATAAAAATAACTTGCATATAGTAGGTAGTTCAGTACTACAGTGAGTAGAAAAAGAATACATTGACTAAATATTTTACACATGTATAATATATATATATTTTTTAAACTTTATACATGAAAATATATAGCTGCCTTTTACATTTTAGGATGGAAATTCCTCGCAGAAAGATGATCATTGGGGGTCTGTGGCATCTAAAAGATTGAAAATCCCTGCCTTAATAAAATTGATTTGATATTTTTGCTTGAATGCTTCTCTCTCTCTCTCTCTCTCTCTCTCTCTCTCTCTCTCTCTCTCTCTCTCTCTCTCTCTCTCTCTCTCTCTCTCTCTCTCTCTCTCTCTCTCTCTCTCTCTCTCTCTCTCTCTCTCTCTCTCTCTCTCTCTCTCTCTCTCTCTCTCTCTCTCTCTCTCTCTCTCTCTCTCTCTCTCTCTCTCAAAAAAACCCCATCTGTGATCATCTTCAGGAAAATTTCAATGTCATCGTCAGATATAATAAGGTTCTTTTGGTCCTGTGTTGTAGGCATGAGCTACCGTTTGACAGGCATGACTGGATTATTGACCGGTGTGGAAAAGATGTCAGATATGTGATAGACTACTACGATGGAGGCCAGGTGTCTAAGCATACTATCCTTGACGTGCGTCCTGCCTTCGATTCCTTAGGAGCTGTTTGGGACCGTATGAAAGTGGCCTGGTGGCGTTGGACCGCCACATGAATATTCTCCACACTGAGTCTTGTGTGATCTATAGGATATAAAGGAACTCATATTTATATAATGTTTTTTTTTTTTTTTTTTTTTTGCAAATAGAATCAGATTGACCTTCTTAGGCATTCTGGCATGCAAATATTCTGTTTTATGAATAATAAATCCAGCTACTGTGTAAATACTCTGATACATACTTTTTAGTTTTTCTTCATTTACTGCTGTTTTCTTGCTTATCAACTGTATTTATTTCTGCCATAAAGTCAGTTGTTAAAGGAATCTATTATAATGTTCATTAAAATGCTCTCTTGCAGTGTTTTTTTTTATTTGCTACTGACATGATGTTCAAAACAAAATATGAAGGTGAAATATTTCAATCTACAGAACAAATATAAAATACTTTGTTTAGATGCTGTCAAACAAGAGGATCGTTTATAGGCATACTGGTGTACAATGGTGTACAATTTCATTTTCTTTAGATATTATCATTTGTATGAGCATTCTAGGGATTGCAATTTTGTGCAACGCTGTTTTACAATAAAACGACCTATTAACAAGTATTTATTAGCAGTTTCAATCTACGTATAACTATGTTGAAAATTATAACATTATGTCAGTCGGAACTGGTTTTCTGTTCTAGTGTTTCTACACGGAATATGACCGTGTACCTACACAATCCGGACGTAACCGTTAGCGATCTACACACGTTAATAATTCATAATGTGGCATTTCGCACGGGTGCAAACATGTCAAAAGAAGCGTTTGATGAAATGTCAGTTTTATCCTCCATATACTGCGAGCAGGGCGAATTCGAGGTATTAGAAGAGTCACGTGAGTTCTTCTGAATGCATTTTAGTATTACTGTAACTTAATTACCCGTGTTTTTTCTTTTCTTTATTGAACACAAAATGTAATGATGACCATAGTGGTAACCCCTGTTTCCACCAAATACCATAGTTAATAATAATAATAATAATGTTGTTTTTGCAGTAAAGCTGATTAAAATAATACTGAAAGATTCAGAAAGCCAGGCTCTGATACAGTTTGAAAGAGATCCACATTCATTATTATAATGGATTAACAGTAGCAATAATAACTGTTGTAACTATAGTCTTTTGATATGAAATAAGTTTGCACCATGAATTTTGAATCAGTTAAATGGGTTTAGAACTTTTCTTATTGATAAATAGATCATTATCCACACAATAAATGTTAAGATATTAACACAAATTCACCAATAAATAGAATGAGATACAGAATTATATGTTGTTTCACAAAAATGAATTAAATTCACAAAGAATAAAAAAAAAAAAAAAATTAAATTAGGTGGACTCCGCCCACCATCTATTCAAGCCAGGCTGATCAATTGTAGCACTATCCAAAAATTGTAAAATATCTTTTATTTGCTAATCTCATTTTATTTATTTGATTTTTTTTGTTAAAATCCTAACATTTATGTTGTGGATCTCATTCTATTTATCTGTGAATAAGTTTAATTTTTGTTAATATCATTACTTTTATTTGTGGATCATTGTCTATTTATCTGAACATACAAACTCTACGAATACAACATAATTGCAATTTCATTTTTAAATGCAGCTGAGAGGGGAATCGTGTACCGCATACACACACTGACAGAGAGGGACAACGAGAAGACTCCGCTAGGCCTTATTTTCCACATCTCTCCCAGCTACCCCCACACTCCTCCAGATATCAGCATCAGTTCCAGCCACTTATCGAGGAAAGAGTGTCATGACCTGAGACAGCAATTACTGGACACAGCACGATCACTTCCACCAGAGCCCATGATCCATGGCTTAATGCTGTGGCTTCAGGAAAACTTCTCTGACTTGATCAAAACATCAAGCTGCCATTCAGCAGAGGTCAGAGCAGAAACGACTGAAGAAACATGGACCGCTTTACTACATTTAGATCACATGAGATCCAAAGCAAAATACACAAAACTGATTGAAAAATGGGCTTCAGAGCTGCGTCTCACTGGAAGACTCTTTACGGGCAAACCGATATTGATTCTGCTGCAAGGAACGAAGGAAAATATTAAAGTATGACTCTAAAATCATAGTATGAACATTTATTGTCATTTTCCCAGACATTTGATTCAATAACATATTATACATTAATACCGTGTTCTGGACATCTTTATAGCATATACTTTCCTGACTTTTCCTTTCCTGACTCCTGACTAACTAGAGTTTTTATTGGATTTGGTTTGTGTCATTTGTGTATGTATTCTTGTGACGTAAGAATATACATTCTAAACTGACTCTCTATAGGAATACATACACCTTCAGAAGACTGTAAAAGTGGATGTTGATTCTTCAGGGAAACGCTGCAAGGAAAAGATGATGAGCGTCCTTTGTGAGATTCCACAACCAGAGGAGAGGAGAATGTAAGCATATACAATGCATACACTTTTGTGTGATATATTGCTAACTATATATACTTCACTGGCCATTGTTTAAATATCACAGCTGGCTTTTTCATTATTTAGGATGTCTACATTTGAAGTGAAAGACGTTTTATCACTTGATGACCTCAAAAGGGAGTTTGATCTTGTTGGACTAACTGAGCTTTATGACCAGTTTGTGCCCTCATTCATCTGACAGGACAGCTGCTGTGTAACACACACTCTCTCCACTGGGTGGGGCCGCACTCAACAACTCTGATGGATTCCCATAATAAAAAACGTCATGTAATTTTCTTTAATAGCTTATAATGCAAAATATGCTGTTTTATAATATTCCCAGTTAAACTGTTTATAACTATATGTCAGTGCCAGGTCTAAAATACAGGACATGTATCCTTACGGAGTTGGACTGGTAAAAATGTTCATAAATTGCAGGAAATTGTAAACACAAGATCAAAACAACATCAAAATAAAAAAGGGTAGTGAAACTATTTACTGTTGTCATCCCTGAAGTGTTACGTACATAATTAATTTAAACTTAAATTATATTAACCCTTTTATGCATGAATAATGATAACCACAGTCAGAGTTTTTATGACTCTCAGGGCATGAAAAAGCAGATTCAAACTTTTTTTCCTTCTTTTTTTTTTTTTACCCATATTTTACATTGATTTTCAGATGTCCACTTGAGTGGACAGTATGCGTTCATGTTTTTAACTGAAGAGATACTGTATTAAACATAATACAGTAATAGCACTTAATACTGTGTAACAAACCAATGAATAAAATCATGTGAAAACTATCAAATATATACAAAAAATGATATAATACAGCTTCAATTATTGCAAACGCAATTGAGTTTGTTCCTTTTCATTCAGCAGACAGAGAAGAAATTGATAAATGTTGGACTTTTTGCGTGTCTTTTGATATCGGAACACGAGGATGTGATTCCATCAAAGATCTGGTGGAGGTACAACTCTGTTGAAAATGCTGATGCTTCCTCCAGTCTACCAGAGTACGTCGATTTACCCTTATTTCTGATTATACCTGATTATGTTCAAAATTTACAAATTTAGCTCTTCTCTCTTGAAAAACAGACTGAAATCTACATTGATCTATTGATGTTTTCACACTTTGGAAAAATGAGCGATCAGGTGTTTTCAAATCTCATCTGAAATGTGCAGTGTTGGGAGTAACACATTAGAAGAGTAACGTTACATTACGTAATCAGATTACTTTTTGGATGTTACGAGTAAAGTAACATTACAAATAACATGCATTATGTAATCAGATTACTTTTTTTAAGTTTCGAGTTAAGTAACACATTACAAGTAACATGCATTATGTAATCAGATTACTTTTTTAATGTTACGAGTAAAGTAACACATTAAAAGTAACATTCATTATGTAATCAGATTACTTTTTGGATGTTACGAGTAAAGTAACATTACAAATAACATGCATTATGTAATCAGATTACTTTTTTAAGTTTCGAGTTAAGTAACACATTACAAGTAACATGCATTATGTAATCAGATTACTTTTTTAATGTTACAAGTAAAGTAACACATTAAAAGTAACATTCATTATGTAATCAGATTACTTTTTGGATGTTACGAGTAAAGTAACATTACAAATAACATGCATTATGTAATCAGATTACTTTTTTAAGTTTCGAGTTAAGTAACACATTACAAGTAACATGCATTATGTAATCAGATTACTTTTTTAATGTTACGAGTAAAGTAACACATTACAAGTAACATTCATTATGTAATCAGATTACTTTTTGGACGTTACGAGTAAAGTAACATTACAAATAATATTCAGTATGTAATCAGATTACTTTTTTAGTTCGAGTTAAGTAACACATTACAAGTAACATGCATTATGTAATCAGATTACTTTTTTAATGTTACGAGTAAAGTAACTTTACAAGTAATATGCATTACATAATCAGTTTACTTTTTTGATCCCACGAGTAAAGTGACATTACAAGTAACATGCATTATGTAATCAGATTACTTTTTTGCTGTTACGAGAAATAATTGGATTACATTTATATAGCATTTTTCACGGCACTCAAAGCGCTTTACATGGAAAGGGGGAATCTCCTCAACCACCACCAATGTGCAGCATCCACAGATGATGCGACAGCAGTCATAGTGCATCAGAACGCCCACCACACACCAGTAAAGTAACAAAGTACAAGTAACATGCATTACGTAATCAGATTTTTTTATGTTACGAGTAAAGTAACACATTACAAGTAACATGCATTACATAATCAGATTATGTTTTGATGTTACGAGTAAAGTAACACATTACAAGTAACATGCATTACGTAATCAGATTATGTTTTGATGTTACGAGTAAAGTAACACTACAAGTAACATGCATTACATAATCAGATTATGTTTTGATGTTACGAGTAAAGTAACACATTACAAGTAACATGCATTACGTAATCAGATTACTATTTTGACGTAACTGCAAATTACAATCTAATAACATAATTACATTTATTTACAGCTAAAAAATGACTGCAGATGAAGTATTTTCAAGAAAAACATAATAGTATGAATTGTAGCTGAAATATAGCTAGTGATGCATGATGTCCAAGTTAGTGGACAGATGATTAATCAGAATTTCCTCCTAATCTAAAATCAATACTTGGCAAAGTTTAACAATGATGACATGAAAGGGTTAAACTGACTTAAAAAATCTCGAGTTTAATTCTCATATAACATTTTTTATTTGAGAAACGTGCATGAATTTAGTCACAACAGCACTCGAGCTGCATGCATTTTAGAAGTTTGTAGCAGGTGCTTTGTTTGACTTGAAGTGGTGCTGCGCAGAAGTCAAGTCGAACACACCTACTGTCAAACCTGACGATCATGTTCTCCGGTGTGATTTCACAGATGATACAAAGAGTTTCAATGGAAGAACAACTTACCATCTGTAAAAGGGGGTCACATGATCAACGTCACAAATTTACTTCTTTGATTAGTGACATACAAATCTAACTATTTATAATTCATTAGTCATAATGTTTTTATTATATTATTTTTAAATCTCATATTTTCAATGGGAGTGCACCCGAATGTAGTGACATGGGCTGCATCCGGAATCACATACTTCCCTAATATAAAGTAAGTGAAAAACAGTATGTGACAATAGAAGAATGTCCAAATTCACAGTACTCATAAAAGAGTAACTTAGGCAAAAAGCCGGATGACCTACTTCCGGCGAGATTCTGAAGTGTGCATAAGATGGACATTTTACATCCCATGAGGCCACGGGAGAGCATTTTTGAATGCCAGTAGGTCACATGATAATGACAACATAGCGAATGTAGTAGGTCCATACTATATAGAACATACATTTTTTAGCAATTAAGTAATTAATTACTGATTCAAAATATGCGGAAATTTGCGATTTCTGACGGAGCCATAGCTGGGATTTGAATCGTAATGACACAGTTAGAGCACTAGAGGGCAAACACAAGCCGTAGTTCCTGCTTCAGTTTATTTAAGGAAAAATTAATGATCTTATCTGCTACACGCCACAAGAACAAACACTATGTACAAAGTTTTCCTCTTAATGTTGAGAATAACTCAGTGTGTTTCTTTAAAACAATTAAAACAAAGTAAATCTTTGTTGAGCGGTTGATGTGAAGATGCTCTTTAAATTAAACTTGTAAATTGAATTTGGCACACTCACTGACCTTACAGACAGCGTTTGCACTTCAAACAAATTAAGACTCTTCTTTTATTTTATGCGTATTTTTCTACAGGTTAATAAGCACTCTATTTTATAAGAGATTGGTTTTTAAACATCAACTTTAATTAGGCAAAAGGTAGGAAGCAATTCTGTTTTTAGCTCTGTGTTTCATACTCCCACATACACACGTTGTATATAGCTAGCTGTCATATTATGTTTACCTTATGCACATTGTGAAGACAGCTGCTGCCTAGGAGGGTCCAGGAGCAATAGACATGAAATTTCTTTTTTTAAACATAATTAACAAGGCTTAATGAAAATCACCTCCTCGCCCTTTACAATGATCCACTCTGAACTATAAATTCACCTTGCCTGACCTTTTCCCTGACATGTTCTTACAAAACAACACTGCTTGTTAAATGTCATCCACTCAGTGGCATTTACTTGTATAAAACGGGGCTTTGATCCAGAGGAGAAGCACACTTTCCTACCTTTACTAGGCCACGAGGCCACGCTAGCCGACCCCTTGCGCCTGCTACCTGTTGAACATTTTAATTACGCCCCATTAAAATGTACAAAGGTTAGATTGAACCTAAAATTTATTGCCCAAATGACATTTTAATTTGGCAAATTAACGCTACATCAATGACATTTGTTCCTTGCTTTTCCTGATCCAACTAAAAGCGGCGATCTGGAATTCCATCCGACTGCTGAAGATTGCCTAAATCAATGCAGAAGCACGACTGAGACGAACCGCGGCGGCCCACCGTGTCCAACTCTATCCAGGTCGATGCAACTCTGGCACAAGATTGCCCTCGACTGCCAGATCTGTTGTCACCCAAACCTTACGATTAGCCTCAGTCTGAAGGATCATGCAAGTTTAATTCCAAACGATACGTAATCACAGCAACAGATAAGAGGTCATTCCTCATCATACAGCATATGCTTTAATTTATTGTCAAGTCACCTTATATGGTAATGCTTTATACAATTTCAAAGCAGTTTCAAAGCAGCTTTACAGTGATAACAGAAAAAGATGCACTTCGGCTGTTGTTCAGCTAAAGTCAGTTCAGTGTTGATTCAGTTCCGTTATAAAGATCATCAACTATTAAATTAGTTCAATTCGACTATAAAGCAGCTCTGCGGTAGTGATTTCATCATCCAGCTCAGTTCAGTTCTCATCAAATAGTGTCAGTGCAGTCAGATCAATAATATTGTTGAATATTAAGTGTCCCTAACTAAGCAAGCTAGAGGCAAAAAGGAACCCAAACTCCATTGGTGACAGAATGGAGAAACCATGCAGGCTCAGTCGGGGGGCCAGTTCTGGGGCCAATGAAAGAACATGGCGTGATTATGATTCAGGCTCCATCGCAAGTCAGAATTATGATCTGGATCGGTTGCATTTAAATATTCATCCACTTCCTTGGATCACATCCAGATCTGTGCTGATAGCTTGTCGTGTCGACAAGGCCTTCACAGGGGATTGTCTAGTAGATACGGTCTCTGCTTACATTCAGAGCTGCGTTTTGATCGTGTCTAGGTGCAGGTCCACCATCTGATCTGAACTGACTATGGATAAAATATTAGGATCAAATAATGGAGATTGGATCAAATATTACCATTTTTAAATGAATGGAAATAATGTAGTTTTCTTTCATAATAATATTAGCCTATAATTAAGTAAAACACTTGTAGTGATTGAAAAATAACCCCCGCAACTTTTATTTAATTATTTACCATGTCCTCAGGTGCAACTTTTAACAAAACT